TGAGAATGCAAATCTTGTCACAATGGAGTAATCCACACAAATTACTCTCTCCTAATATCTTCAAATTGGTAGCAAAATTTAATGAGACATAGAAAGTATTGTGCAAGCCTGTTTCCCTTTGCTATGGAATTCATCTCCTCTTCTATGGAATTTGTCCATCATCACTCTTCTTACAGGGGACAATGAACTCTGTCAGATTTAGTATGGTAATTTTAGATGGGAAGAAAATTATAAGATTTTATATAATCAAATTTTACCATGTAGAGGTCATTATCAATCAAACATGCATTAAGATGTGGGAATATTGGGTTAGGCTCAATCCATTCTCATGATTTGGGAAATTGAACCCAATATGTGGGAATGGATAGATAATTTAAAGGGAGAATTTTAATTAAGGATCGGAGATGGGATTTAATTACCCATAAGTTTCAAAAAAATTTAAAACTTTAGTTTAATTTAGGAAGAATAAAGTGAAAATAATTTTAATAGTAAAAAGATTAACTTTGTTAATTTTATTTAAAATACAAAATCATTAGTTGTTAATTTTTTTACTTGTTAATTTACTAATATAAGTTGTAATTTATATGAATTGACTTTTTAATAATTACACAAAACTCGACATTAGTTGTTCAATTACAAAGAGCAATATTAGTTGTTAAATTACTAATTTTATTTGTTAATTTACTATAATCAATTGTAAATTATTGACAAAATCTTGTAATTTACAATTGATATTAGTAAATTAATAAGTAAAATTAAAAGATTAACAACTGATGTTACTACTTGTCTGACAAATTGATATAATTTATAACTCATATTAATAAATTAATAAATAAAATAAAAAAATAATAATTAATAATTTTGTATTTCAAATAAAATTAACAAGTGAAATGTATTTTAGTTTTTTCATCGTTGAAATTATTTTCACTTCAATCCTCATGGATTAAAATGAAATTTTAGATTTTTTGAGATTCACTAGTAATTAAATTACATCCATTGATCCCTAATTGCAATTCTTCTTAATTTATTAAATGAGTCAACTTATCAATTCATTTAACTTTCTTTTTTTTTGTTTGATTTTTTTTAATTACATCTCTATAACATATGTCAATATTTCATATAACTTAAAATTCACATCATAATATACAATAACAACAAACAAACTTATCTCATTATTTAATTATTTATATTAACAAAATAAAAATTAAAGTACATCATAACAATTAAGAAAATTGGATCAGTCAAAAAAGTTAATAATTAAAATCATAATCAAGTTATGATATAATCGATATATATATATATATATATATTAGTTTACAGTTTATTGGGATTTAATCGAATAAATTGACTTGAATTTTTATAATACGGACACGAGTCAAGTAACATCTCTCCTCTGGAGGGACGACAACTTTCTTCTACCGGACAACAACTTTTCGACAAAAAAAAAAAAGAAAAAAAGAAAAAAAGAAAATGAAAAAGAATTACCGTGGAGGTGGAAGAAGCTTCATTGAAATTGAGCAAGGCAATGAAAGCTGAGGCCGGAGAAGAATCTCCTACTTACCATTACATAATCACTGGTAGGTAGTGTAACACCTCCTTCCCAACTCACTATCACCAACGTCCCTGCCTTTCGAGATAAGCTTCTAAACATAGACTTCATTAATTTCTCTCAACCATTAACTTCTACAATCAACATTCGTGGCAAGTCACTCATAGTCGAATATGAAGGTCTCCCTGTTACATGCAATCACTAGGTATGTTAAAACCATCGTCTCCCTCTACCTCCTCCCATCTCCGATTTGTATTTATGCATCTCTTCATCTAGACCTGCCAAGAAGCAGCAAGCAAACAAGTTTTATTTTTTTGGACATCCCTTATTAAGGATCATTATCTAGACATCTCAATCCTGCTTGACCCTTAATTTATGGTCTCTGAGCATATAAGATAATTGGTAATATAGGCTTTTCACTCTCACTATATTCAATCGCTAGGATTCTCTAGGAGCATTTGGTCATGATAGTCTAATAAAGTGGCGGTGAATATTATTTACATTCACTCATATTTCATTCATGAGAAACAAGTGGTTGAAAATAGTTTTTTATCCCCTCTACAATATACTAGAGTCCTAGCCCCTACCTTCTTGGTCATCCAAATCCTTAATCCTTCATTTAGATGGAGAGAAAAATGAAGAGAAAATAAAACTAAGAGAAAAAAACTCCTAAAATTGTAAATTTGAAAATTTTTTTCTCATATTTTCATTCTTCTTATTTTCTTTTTATTTTTCTCTCCATCCAAACCAAACTTAAGACTCTAATTACTAATTCCTCTAGCCCATAGCTCCTTACTTTGACACCACCACCTCCGTGAATGAATAAAGAGAAGATCAATTGGACCTTAACATTGCGAAGGAAGTCATAAAATCAGAATAATTACTCCCAAGGATTGGTGAGATGATTGGCAACTCCAAGAAGTTTGCGATGGTGAATGAATTATGATAATATGTGTCTTTTATGGGAGACATCTTATCTTATTAAAAGTATAGTTAAATATTAAATGTAAACAACTCTTTTAATAATGATTCAAATTTTGGTTTGTTATATTTTGAGGAACTAATTTCTTTTATTACACTCAACCCATGATTAAATATATAAACCATACTAACTGGAAAAAACCATCGCCTTCCACCTCAAATTTGATTACATTTTCGCCACATAATCACAAAGAAGGCCATAGCATTCACAGCCAAGACGATGTCTGACAAAAGCAGTGTGGTGAAATGAACTTGTTTATTAAAAAAATACTTTATACATAATTTATTGGTATTTGTATTATTAAATTTTTAATAAGAATAACAAGAATTTAATTTTTTAATAATATATTAGTTTTCTTAAAATGTATATTAATCTTTTAACTTTACACAATATTTAATGCTTAATTTTGATCCCTTTAACTTTATAAAATATCTTTTCAATTCTTTAACCTTAATATCATTAGTTTAATTAAAAAAATTTACATTAAATTTTTAAATATTAACAAAATATTTTTAAATATTAATATATTGAGTTTAACTGTTTAAAAATAATAATTTACAACTAGTTGTTAGAATTAAAGAATAAAAAAAATATTAAATCCATCTTAAATTATAAGTCATTTTTAAATAAAATTAATATTCACTTTTAATATAGACAGAGAGAGAGGGGTGTTGGCGGCGCAAAATTGAAAAGAAGGAATACTGGAGTAGTGGCGATCTGTCATGGCCTTGGAACTTTTATTTTCTTGAACCGTGCCGGCCTTAACTTGATCAACTTCTTAATCGTGACTAAGTCAGCCGAACTCACAAAATAAGCAAAGAGGCTTAAGAGAACTAGATGCACAAGTAGAGAGTTTGAGTGAATGAACTTGAGAGTTTTATTACTTGCTTTTGAGTGGTTATAAATGAGGGGTGAGGGGGTATTTATAGGCTCTTCCCCGTCTTCCTGAAAGTTCCCACCTCCTTAATGGACGGTTGAGATTGATTTGATCCTACAGTGTACATTCTTTTTCTAGAAATATCTACAAGGAATATCTTGATATTTATAAGGAAAATTCTAGAATGTACAAGAGAAGGATATTCCTAGAATAATTTAAATACTTCAAGTACTCTTTACACTATTCTAGAGATATCTAGATCTTTTGAGGTCATACCAGCGTATTTCAGAAGTCTCGGTGCCTTCTTGATTGTCCTGGATCGTTTTAGAAGCTTCTAGAATATTTTAACCTCGTGAAAATTTTGACTTCATCACATATTGCTCTTCATCATCTTTCTTTCAATTTCCTTAGGCGATGGCTTCTTATACTTTCTTGTTATGCTGGTTGATTTTTAGAGTTATGAAGAATTAATTTTTTTGATGTGTTTAGTCACAAACTATAATCCTAAACTATAATTAGAGTTTTTGATATTTAAGAAAAATTTTATTTTAGCTTTATTTTAAATTACTTTTCTTATTTCTACATTTAAATTTTGTGCTTTAATTATTATTATTGATTATAGTAGTTTTATTGCATGATTTTTGAATTATATATTTTATCTAAAATTTTGCTTGCCATAATCAATTTATATAATATCATTAGAGTGATTTAGCTTGATTTAGGTAATTATTCATATTTTATTTCTGGTGTGATTAATTTAAATATAGCTGTTAGGTTGTAGATTAAGAGAGATTTTAATTAATTTATAACTTAATTTTTTATTTAATTCTTGAATGATAATTTAAAAAATATATAATAAAAACAAACAAAAATAAACTTAAATAAATTCAATTTGTTTTGTAAATGAGAAAAATTAAGTTTAGGTAATTGAATTGTGATTGATTACATTGCTTGTGTTTAGTAATTTTCTTAATTGAATTTTCTTTAATTATTTAATTTATAATTTAATTTTTTAAAATTAATTTCATCATAAAAAAATCCTTCATTATTTAGCTTTTCATAATCCTAATTCAAGTAATTAATAATCCACTGACTTTTAAAAAGATGACTTAGGTTGCATTTTATTATAAAATTTATTTTTTTTATTAATTTTGATACTATCTAACAGTAGTGTCAAAATATATTTTACTATCTTAATTTTTTAAGATAAAAATATAAATATTAAAAAATATCTTTCATTTAATACTTTAATTATGAAAGAATATTAAAAAAAAATATAAGAAGCATAATATTAAAAAATTATTATTAATGAAGCATTACTTTTATTAAAGTGTCATATATTTTGAGATGTCAAATCTTCTTTAAAAATATCTTATAATTTAAGATTAAAATAATTTTTATAAAATTAAAAAATTAAACTAAAATTTTATATAAAATTAGACCATCAAAAGTACATTTTAACTTCTATTTTTTTTTTAATAAAATAAGCATGTGATTCATTAATCATTTTAGGGCTTTGGTTGAGCTGCCGCCACACAGTGAAAGGATATAATTGTCATTACAATATTAAAAGAAGGGTTGTTTTGTGAAGAAGATAATTATATAATACCTCTAACCTCCTTGAGCTTCATTCTCTTGCGCTTTGTTTCACTTGCTCCATTGCGGCTAGGGTTTTAGTTTCTCACTGTCTCGCAGGTTCGGTTTCTGACTTTTTACTCTTTCTATGTCTTTTCGTCAATCTATGGCTTCAGCATTCGATCGTTTCACTGGATCATTCTGCATGCTATCTGTTCTTCCATTTTTTTCCGAGTAAAAATGGGATTTCGTTGCTCAAAAAATTACACCAGAACCTATCATCCGCTATTCGAACGCGCGCTCGTTCGTTGGACTTTTGTTTGGTTCTGTTGCCAATAGACTTATGTAACTCTGTTAGATTAATTTTTGTTTATATATTTGATGATGAATCGAATTATGCTTTTCATTGAGTCCTTGGGTTGTTCTTGTTGATATGATTCCTGTATGAAATTTAGAGCTTGGAGTTCTTTTAATTATTAATGATTTATTGTGGATTGATGAGAATCGATCTTAATGTAAAGGAGGTTGGGGATTTTACTGAGTTTGTAAACGCGATTATATACTTGACTCTGACAAGCATATGCAGATTTTGTTGTTTAACTGTTTCATCTTGTCGTTGTTACTTTTGGGTCGGACCAAGTTCGCTTGATCTGCAGAATATGTAGTATCATAGATGATTTCCATAACGTTCAGTTTTGTATTAATTATTATTTTCTGAAAGCACGTTCTTTGATTGATATTCAAGTCATTTATCGGTGGTCAAAATTTAGAACATTTCTAATTTGTTTATGTTTTAGCACGGTGTTCTTAATTTCTTCCTTATTTTGTTTTTGAGCAGTCCATTTTTTGTCTGAAGTCTAGACGCTATGGGTAAGGAAAAGACTCACATCAACATTGTGGTCATTGGCCATGTCGACTCTGGGAAGTCAACAACTACCGGTCATCTTATCTACAAGCTTGGAGGAATTGACAAGCGTGTTATCGAGAGGTTCGAGAAAGAAGCTGCTGAGATGAACAAGAGGTCGTTCAAGTATGCGTGGGTGCTGGACAAGCTCAAGGCTGAGCGTGAAAGAGGAATCACAATTGACATTGCACTCTGGAAATTCGAGACCAACAAGTACTACTGCACGGTCATTGACGCACCTGGACACAGGGATTTCATCAAGAACATGATCACGGGAACATCTCAGGCTGACTGTGCGGTCCTCATCATTGATTCCACCACGGGTGGTTTTGAAGCTGGTATTTCCAAGGACGGACAGACCCGTGAGCACGCGCTCCTTGCTTTCACCCTTGGTGTGAGGCAGATGATTTGCTGCTGCAACAAGGTATTTAACTCGGGATTCCTGCTGCATTCAACATCTCTCTGTGTAGGTACGTCAGTTGTCACTCAGAGTAACTTCCTAATGTGGTTTTTCTGTACTTTCTTGTCCGACAGATGGATGCCACGACTCCCAAGTACTCCAAGGCCAGGTACGATGAAATCGTGAAGGAAGTCTCATCCTATCTGAAGAAGGTCGGCTACAACCCTGACAAGATTCCGTTCGTTCCGATCTCTGGTTTTGAGGGAGACAACATGATCGAGAGGTCGACCAACCTTGACTGGTACAAGGGACCGACCCTTCTGGAGGCCCTTGACCAGGTCCAGGAGCCCAAGAGACCGTCAGACAAGCCTCTGAGGTTGCCCCTGCAGGACGTGTACAAGATTGGAGGAATTGGAACTGTTCCAGTGGGACGGGTTGAGACTGGCATTCTGAAGCCCGGTATGGTGGTCACTTTTGGGCCGACTGGACTGACAACTGAAGTGAAGTCTGTGGAGATGCACCACGAGGCCCTCCAAGAGGCTCTTCCGGGTGACAACGTGGGATTCAACGTGAAGAACGTGGCTGTGAAGGATCTGAAGCGTGGGTATGTTGCCTCAAACTCAAAGGACGATCCGGCCAAGGAGGCCGCCAACTTCACAGCTCAGGTCATTATCATGAACCATCCGGGCCAGATAGGCAACGGTTATGCTCCTGTGCTGGACTGCCACACCTCCCACATTGCGGTCAAGTTTGCTGAACTGTTGACGAAGATTGACAGGCGATCTGGCAAGGAGCTTGAGAAGGAGCCCAAGTTCTTGAAGAACGGTGATGCTGGTATGGTGAAGATGATTCCAACGAAGCCTATGGTGGTGGAGACTTTCTCGGAGTATCCTCCGCTTGGTCGATTTGCTGTGAGGGACATGCGTCAAACGGTGGCGTGGGAGTGATCAAGAACGTGGAGAAGAAGGACGCCAGTGGAGCCAAGGTCACCAAGGCTGCACAAAAGAAGGGTGGCAAGTGAATGGTGCGGGCTGGTTTATCTATTGTAGCCGATCATTATGGCTGCGATAAAAGTATTCTTATTTGTATTCTGTGTTTGCAGAGTCCGAATCTTAGGTTTATTGTTTACTGTGTCATGTTCTTGCCATTACCTTTGACAAGCAGCTTTTGTTCGCAGAACTGGGTTCTTGATCGACGGTGGCAAGGTTTTCTGGTATTTTTATTTTTATTCACACTGTGGGGCAGGGAGTTTTGTTTTTGATATTTGCGGTATGGTATAGAACTATTTTTATAGACTGCCGGTTGTGTGTCAAATGTGAACTTTTTATTTTGTTGAACTTTTAATTAATCCTTAACCTTGATAATGGCATATACGTATCCGGAAAGCTACAATGATGAGTTTGTTGTCTCCTTGTTGATATTTCATAATTTTTAATATTCGTTTATGTTTGTAACATTTTCTTGATGTATATGACAATAATAATGGCTGTTTGAAACGTTGAAAATATGTTCTTTGGTCTAAAAAAGAAAAAAAAAAGAAAAAAAGAAAAACGAAACGAGTCACTTGGACCAAAATCGCTTGAACCAGTTCTTCCACTGGAGAGGCCTCTGGGAAGTGACTTTTTGGGGGATCCTTTATTTTATATATATATATATATATATATATATTTTTTTTTTTGACAAGTTCACCCTTCTCATTTTTTTTCTTCTGCCTGCATGGATGCATGTATGTTTCTCTCCGTGTGTGTGATTATATGTATGTATGCATAGAGGGAGAGACCACTTAAATTGATCCAAGTTCCAACCACTGATTTTCCTAATGCATGCTAGTTCACTAACTTGGGATTTTCTTGTATACATGGACCAGACACCGGATTGATCAGACAGAAGGGTTTGACTGCGGGGGCCATCGACTGAAATTATTATCATCTCAATTTGAACTAAAAAGCTGTTTTTAGAGTTTATCTGGGTTGGATCGGAGTTAAATTATTATTGTGCTGAAAGCCAGAGTTAAATTAAAATTTGAAACAGTTTTCAAAAATCAGATGTTTCTAAAAATAATCTAGAAAAAGCTTAAAAATTTAAAAAATAGAAAAAAATAAAAAAAATAGACCCCTACTAAAAACAGATTTCATTTTTGGGTTATTCATATGTATATAATATAATTTAAGACTATTTTTTAAGAAAATGTTGATAGGTATAGGTTTAAATATAAATACTTTTAAATCTACATACTTAATTTAACAAAGATCTATCTATATTTAACAAGTAACAAAGTTATATCTATATTCTAAAAACTAAACATATTGTAAACTAAATTCTTATATATACACACACACATTTAATATTATTTTTATTTCATTTTCACATTACAAGTTCGATTGCTGATCCAATGGAATAGATTATAAAAACCAAGACCCCTTGACTTTCCCAACTTACATTGGATCCTGTTTTTAAAACATTTATCATAATGCGGCTCACTAAGTGTGGCAGTAATCGATAATCATGGTAACCTGTTAACAAGGGAAATGCTTATTGATTGTCACTATATGATGATTCTTGTTTCATTGAGCCGCGGAACCACGTTATTGTTGAGGGGGGCTTCCTTGCCTATTCTATATATAAAGATAATCCAATATAGAAAGGAGGTGAATTTCCAGAAATTGAGACAAGGGACAAAGGAAGTGAACATTATATTTGAGAAATTCATAACAAAAGAAGGACAACTAAAATTGATTGGGAGAAGGGGAGAGGCATTTGGGAAGTTTGGAGTAATTATTATTATTAGTGAATGTAAAAAGTGTAGTTTGTTCAGTTAAAATAACATTGTTGAAGTCTTGAAGTTCATTGTTCTCATCCATGGCGTCTTTAGGCCGTGGTGGGAGGGAGAGGACAGAGGGAAAAAAATAACAGTGTTTTCAATTTTTTAGTTTTTTATTTTGATTTTTTATGGTCCAATATAATAAATTTTAGCTATGTTAAACATTTGTTGGCTAAATATAACCCTACCGATTCATGAATAATGAATAATTGTATAAAAAAATTAGCTAGATCCTTTAATATTTTCTTTAAAAATGGCAAGTAAATTAAAGGATTTTTTCAAATGACAAATTTAAAAAATATAACTTTTTAAAATATTTATATACTTACAAATTTTTTTTCAATTATATTTTATAAGATATAAAATTATTTTTTAAAACATTTTAAGTATACATATATATATATATATATATTAAATTTCAAAAATTCCCCCATTTAGTGTTGGTTTCGCCCTTGATTTCTTTGATCCCTCTTGTTGAAGTATTTATGGAATGAGAACGACAATGAAAGCAGCTTATAATAAAAATAATGATAATGATAATGCAAATTACAATGAACTGACAAAATTCGATAATAATATTTCTTATAAACAAAGAAAAACAATAAAACACAAATATCCTACGGAACAAGAAATAAAGGACCTATAATAATATTTAGTTTGTCATCAAATGCAATAAGTTTTTGATTTCATAGGCATGCTTCGTTAGATTAAAATGATATAAGAATGGAAAATAAAGATATTTATTTGCCATAACATTCCTAAAGAAATGAATTTCCCTTTTTTTAATAACCTTTAAAAAATTCCTTTGTTCTAGGTGAACGCAAAAATCATTTATTAACGTTATTTTCTGATAAATAAATTTTAACGCCAATTATAAGTTCGTCGAAGTTAGGCCATAATTCTTCTTCTTATCTTTTTTTTTTTGGCCCGAAAGTTAGGCCATAATTACGAAGCACACAATTTTTTTTAAAAAAAATTAAACGGACTATTTGATATGTATGTGATACACGTCCTGTACTTTAGAATCCGCATCAACAATTTGTATTACTATATTTTTTGTTAAAATATTTCTACATGGCTTAAAAATTTTAAAAATAATATTTTAATTGATTATTGTAAAAATCATTTTAATACTTGTTTAAAACTCAAGAATCAAGTTAGTCAGATCCATCCCCTAAAATATTTAAGTATATAATTATATACTCAGGTTATTTCAGTTCTAAAATTTGTAAAATCATCATATTTTATTGTATCATGATAATATCATCTCCTCCATAAATTATCTATTTCAATATTATTGGCTTCTCCGCAAAAATGTATTAATAAAAGGGTATTCAGACATTTCCTTCAAGACGGTTTTCTTCGTCTCCAAGTATTTGAACTTTTTCTTTGTTAAAAAAAAAAAAGCCTGAGTATTTAAACCTACTTTATATAATTAAGAATGCCTGTCCAGTATGTTTGCCCACAAAAAGTTGATCCCTAAAATTATATATAAATTGTCGGGAAAAGCATTCACACTCGATAGTCATCAATTGCATGGCTTGGGCATCACTCCAGAATATAATTAAATAATTAAATAATTGAAAAATATAGCCGTAATCGGGGAAAAATACGTGTGCGTGCGAATCCTATGGCCTATAAATTGCATAAATTTTAATACTGCAGGTTACATTATCATAACTGATGAATAATAAAATTTCTTATAGATTTAAAATTTTTTCTTGAAAACTAATAAATAATATATTTTTTATAAATCTTATATTTTGAATTGATTATTGATTATTATTATCCTAAAGATAGAGAATACTTCGCATATTTCCTTGAACTTTTTCCCCTAAGCTTTATATCTTTAAATTTTATCCCTCACAAACTTATAAATAATAAGATAATTTAAAAAACCCCCCTACACGGGATCTAATGTAGTTTACTGTAAAGTTACATAAAATTTTTAACTAAATTGAACGACAAAAATTAACCATTATATCCTCTCTACTGTATTTCTTAAAAATTATTATTAGTAAAAGTATATGTTACGTATGCTCTTATAAAGGATAGTTCTGCTAGTTATAAGTGTGAGCGTGAATTGAATTCTATCTTGTCTTATTTTGTGCATCAGATAACTTTTTTTTTTACTATAAATATAATTTATTGTTTCAAATATAGATGAAATCCCTAATTTATTTATTTAAAGATGGGATTTATTTATTTAAAGATGGGATAAATTATATTTTTCTATAATAATAATAATTGCATCACAGCCAATTTGTGTCTGGAATGAGGCCATCATGTGCTCACTGTGAAGACAAGATCGGTTCATAAGCATTACATTACTACTAAGTAGCATCTCAGGAGTTCTTCACTGTGTCATGTGAGCATTTGACCGAAAATAAATTAATATTTTTTTAAATGAATTCTAATTTTTTAAACAAGAAAAAGCTTATGTATGCTGGATTTTGGAAGTGAGCTAGTTTCATGGGCTCGTCATGTACAGAATATGTTTCATGAAAATGAATTAATATTCTTCTGAATAAATTCACGCTATTGGATTGCCATATATATATAATATAAGGCAGAGTTTGGGGTGATGAATTTAAATTTTAGATTTCAAATCTCAAGTTTAAAATTCATACATTTAAAATCTTTTATTTAAAGAGTTTAAAAAATCCTAAATAAAGAAAAAAGATGAATCAAGATTTAAAAGATAAATGAAAAACTAAAAATAGTGAATCTATATCTATTTTTTAATCGACAAGATATGAAAAAAATATATGAAAGTCATAAATATATAAATAACGAAAATGTGAAGATAATAAAATGTTTGAAATAGTTGAAATTTTAAATAATTAAAGTGTAGAGAGAATTTAAAATTATAAAGCAGTTATAATTTAAAATAAATTTAATTTAATTAAATTTAAATTTATAAAATTTTGTGTATTTAAATAAGAGATTTGATTCAAATCTAAATTCTCATCAATCCAAACTTATCATAATATAATATAAGCATTTCTTGAATTATAAATATTGTATTCTGATAAAAAAATTATAAATATTGTATATTATTTTTAAAGCTCAATAATCCTCGCCAAAATAAAAAAAATAAAAAAAAAGATATGTCAACGTTTCTTAATTTCTTTTAAGAAGTCTATTCCCTGCGAGGCGGCTAGGGTTTCGTATTGATTAGAATTAAAGCTCATGATCAGCAGAGGATACAACCGTCAATTATATTTTCAAGAAGGGCAGTTGATGAATTAAAAAATAAAAAAATAAAAAGAGTTTGCTTTAGGGTTATGTTTTGAGGTTGCTGGTTGCCGCCTTATACTAGGAAAGGGGTATAGCTGTCAATACAATGTTTTTTTGGGGCCAAAAGAAAATATCTCAATTCGAACGTAATATATAATCCCCTCGAACCTCATTGCTCATCACTTCGCCACTGTGTTTCCTGCTATTGTTCGCCTGCGGCTAGGGTTCTTGCCTCTCCTATCTCTTAGGTTCGCTCTCTGACATGTCTCTCTTTGGATGCCTCTCTCTATCCATGGCCTTGAATTCTAGATTGTTTCCTTGAATGATTCTG